CCTTTTATTAGTCTATTGAATGTATTAATTTTCATCATTTTGTAATACAACGATACCTCAAATGATATCTATACTATTGATAACATCAATTCTGATTTTTGACTGAATATTCAACTTCTATCTATCCAAATTGTTGAATAAATTATTTATGCGTCGATCGAAATAATTTTTCAATTGCAAAAGAAAAAATTTCGGAATGATGGGATGAAAATTTTTCATCGGTCCATGAAATTTCGCTTTCAAATTTAAATCTGTGAAATGGATAGAAGGAAAGTTTATCGTTCAAGGCGAGGGATAATTTTAGGCCGTTTGTGGAAGAGCGGTAAGGCCCGACTAATCTGTTTTCTTGGCGGGCAGTATGTTTGGGTTATTGATGTTATCCTCTTTTTGGAATAGGAACAACGTTATTTGCGTGGAATGAAAAGAGTGAAGGGGATGTAATTAATACGATTGGAGATTGCGAGAACGTTCGAGATGACGAAATGAATGAATGAAGTACTGAGAGAAAAGAGAGGTTAGAGTGAGAGATTCTAAGAGAGACTGAAATAGAGGAAAAGCAATATCTGATTACTGTGATAAGATGGAAAATACAGTGTACTAAGTTCTCTCTCGTAATCACTATTACTAATCAGTTTTATTGTAATCATTACAGTTGCTGATCTGATCTGTTTTTCTGTTTTTTTTTTTAATTCTCTGTTATCAATAATTTGGCACTAAAACGGGTGGCAGTGATTCACAAATAACCTGTGACGAGCATTTTTGCAAGTAAAAAGATGACATTAAATGGGAATATATATGGTTTACAATAATTTTGAAATAACTGTTTGCAGTGTCTGATAAGATAGCTGATAAATTGATATGCGCTATTTAGGGAGAGACAAGTAAATTGGTGTCCGTTATAAATTTCTTAGTTATGTAAATGGTTATCATTACCGACTATTTTGATCCAACATTTTGTGAAATATTTCAGAGTGAATTTTTTCTCGACTATGCATTTAATACAAATTGATAGGTTCACCGTGGAATTTCCATTCGAACCATATGAGTGCCAAATTAAATTTATGGAAAAGGTTATAGAAGCTTTACGGACGGTATGTTTACTATATGTTTTAATTATATACTACTAATTATATATTCAATACAGTAACTGATAAATTGTTGAGGATAATTATATTGTTGAATATGGCAAAAACTATTAATTACATAATAGAAAGTTTCAACTCTCAATTAATTGTGTATATTAAAAAATTAGCAGTGTAGCTTATAGCTTTTGGGTAATACTAGATCCTATTCCCGGATATGATTAACTGTCATTAATCAGATACATAATGATAGATTATTGATTATTAAACCTTCCATGATAAATTATCAATTACTAATATTCTTTCAAAGTGATAAACTATCACTGAACATTTCGTAAACGTTATCTCAAGCTATGAGGAATTATTATGTTTCCCACTATAATTATAGCCATATTTTTACGCGGAAAAGATGTACTTTATGATGTCAAGAACTAAATAACCCAAATATCAGGATGAATTGCCAGGAATTTGTTTTGCAAAATAATTTATTTCTGGACAATAAATTTTTTTTAGAATTATTACTTATATATTAGTGAAAGAAATTATTGTTAAACTGTAAGCAGTGTCATTTACAATTCATGAGAGAGCTACTTGATTAATTAATCTTTAACAATTTAATTGTTTTTGAAATATTCTGAATTTTTAATATTTTTTACGAATATTGCTAACACTTAACACGATTAATAGAGGATAAATTTTGAGTCCAGATTTCTGTGAGAATAATATGGTGATATTAAAAGTTTTTCATTTTTCAGGGACAGAATGCAGCGTTAGAATCGCCGACCGGAACCGGCAAGACGCTGTGTTTACTGTGTGCTGCTATTGCGTATTTAAAAAATTGCAAATCAAAGATATCTCAGATGGACTATACAGAAAATACAAGTTACTCTTCCAGCTTTATCTAGTAATATTTGTGAGATAACAACATAAAACTATCTTTTATTCAGTAGAGCTTTTCCGGTCTCCCACACGTTTCCATGTTAGCTTGTATCCCAATTTTTAACACTTCGTTAATAGAGGCATTTTTTATCATATTGGAAATAAATTAACTTAATGTGGATATTTCACATTCACGTAAATTTTCTTTCAAGTTTCAAGTACTGTAGCGATGAGAAACAAGATATTCGAACATTGGAAACTGTTTCAAAGATGATTTTATTGACAGGTACATCTTCTAAATCACTTTATCCAAAAATTTTTTATGTTTCCCGAACGCACAGCCAACTAGCACAAGTAATCCGTGAATTAAACAAAACTACCTATAAGGAGTGAGTTTCTTACGCTAAATTACTAAAAATTTGAACTTCTAACCCTAATTCATCGCAATTATTTGAAACTGAAATGCTTCTAATTCCTCATTTCTTTAAATTTAATTTTTATTGTCCATACAAAAATGTTGGTTTAAAATAATTGCAAAGTTTTTGATTCGACGGCTGCTTGAAATCAGTTTGTTATTGTTATCAGAAATTAAAAATAGTTCTTGCTGTGATATTTTCATTTCATATCCAATCTTCTTTTCTTTCCCATATCTCGACAACATTCGTAACATTCCTTTTTCAACACAGGGAAAGTTTTTTATTTGATATTTTTCAGTATTAAGACCGTAACTTTGGCATCTCGTGATGTACTTTGTATCAATGATAAGGTGATGAAAGAAAATAATAGGCATGTCAAATCACTAATGTGTAAAAATTTGATCAGCAAGCATCGATGTCCATTTTATAATTTCTACGAAAGTATGATTTTATTTCTTTTTCTTTCTGCCTTTTTTTCCTCTTTATTTGCTTAACTTACTAAATATTAGAAAAATTTCTATGCTATAAATTTTTTTCCGTTGAATGTATTCCCACTTCTAAAAATTTTATGATAGTAAGTCTGTCATCTGTTATGGCATATGCTGGATATATGGAAATATAATTTTCATAATTTTAGTTCCAAATTTTGTTCTTTAGTAATTTTTATTTATTTGTTAAAAATGTTTTAGGAACTGATCCATCAACATTGGATTTATTATATAATGAGCATGGATTAATTCCAGATATCGAAGAAGTCGTCAGTATATCTCAGAAGCATAAGTTATTAGATTTTTTTCGCTTTGAAATTCCATTTCAAGTTGACATTCAGTAGGTTGTACCAAAATTTTGGAAATAAATTCGCTCTTTAGATACTGTCCTTATTTTTGGAATCGTACAATGTATGAAAATGCGGATCTAATTCTTTTGCCATATAATTACGTTGTTGATCCTTCCCTGCGACATAAGCATAACATTCAATTGAAAGGGAATATTGTCATTTTCGATGAAGCGCATAACTTGGTAATTATTCGTATTAAAAAATATTTCTGTTCAATCAATAAGTTTGATTACGCTGGAGCAGATTGATACTTGACATGATTTTTTTTTTTGAAATAGTGTTTTGGGGAAAACTTCTGGTTCACACGAGAAATTGAAAATCGAAATTGATTATTTTTGGAAACTTTTATTCAGGAATCAATTTGTGAAGAGTCAACATCGGTATCATTTTCAACTACTCAAATTAGTGCTTGTATAAGGGAGGCAAAAAAAGTTTTGGAAATGATAATAAATGATGAAGAGGAAATTCGAACAAAAATGGCATGTGTTTTACCCTATTTGATATTCTCTTTTCATCTTTCTCACTGATAGATTTTTTGCAAAATCTGCTCATACCGTAAGCACAAAGCGAAGATGCTTTTGTATATATTTAGCCAAAGTGTTGAATGTGAAATTCAGTTTCGTGAGTGTAATACTTCAAATTACGAAACTTATTACAGGAAGTTTATCTCTTCTTTTTTCTCATTGCTGTCATAGCCTATTAGAGTAAATCTTCTTTTCATTTTTCCGTTACTCTATTGACTCATTCGATTAATTCTTTTCTGTACAGATGGCTTTTTCTTACATTCTTGGAGATTCCTTAATTGATATTTATAGATTAGAAATTTTTAGTATAAAAATGTTATATTAACTTTTGCAAAATTATTTATTTTTACAGGATAATATAATTGCATCATTTGATACTGAAATTCAGGAAACACATGAAGTGAAAATTGAAAAAAATAATATAGCTTACTTGCTTGGTAAGTATAATTTAGTCCATGAGTTCATCTTCTTGATACGCACATTACAGTCTTCAAAATAAGCTAAATCATGTGATCTTGTAATCTAATTCTGCATTTTACTTATGTTATGGAATATTTAGTCTATCTTTAAAAAAATCTTTGATACTAAGTTGAGATCATTTTCGAATCTAAAAATGAATCAATGTTTCAGCGTCTTTACATCAGTTTGAAGATGCTGTGGATGTTTGCATGAAAGATAAAGGAGAGAAAGTAATTGGAATTGATGGTAAAGTTTATCCAGGCGAAAAAATGATTGAATTATTATCAAAAGCAGGAATTCGAAAAGATATGACGGAAGCAGTATTATTGACTATTGACAAAATTGGAGAGTATCTTACAGCAAAAGGTTTATTATCCTTCTATTGCTCTCATATTGTGTTCGCAGCATAAAATGTTAATTCTGTTGTTTTTCATGCTTCTTTGATTTATCTTCATGTCGATCATTTATATCTTTTTATACAAATTTTTAATTTAAAATATGCTTATTTTTTAATACTTTAACTTTCCAATATCCTTAATATTCGTAATGGAGATTTTTGTTTTTAAGTAAACAAAATTTACAGCACCAAGTGAGTCAGTTGGAGAGTTTATCGAAAAAGGAATTTATCTTCAAGAATTTTCATCATTCATTTCAACTGTTTATGCAGATAAACACGCTTCATTACGGATATTGGATAGTTCGGTTTGTGCAAAGAGGAATATGGATAGCAGCAGCGCGAAATATTTTCAGGTAAGTTGCACAATAATATGTAACTCTATTAGGTAGTAAATTGAGCCCAGCATTGCATCAATTGTTTTTAATTAATATGCTCGGAACAGCAACAATCATATGTCAGAAATATATCCTGCAATAGAAGGAATTGCACGAGACAGTAAGCTATTCATTTGGTGACCCAACTAACGTATCTGTTGCTAAGATTTCTAGCTTTTTTTATTTGATCCAAAATTATGAAGTTTTTAAAAGTTTTCAATCTATGATTATGATGCACTTTAGCTTTACGTCGTAAAGCATGGTTCAGTAATAACGCTGAATTACTGGTGTTTTTCACCATCAGTTGCAATGTGGTTAGTTACATTTTTAACTATCGTTATTCAATTTTTTCCTGTGAATAAATAATTTTTTTTGACTCTCAAAGTAGTGCAATTTATTCAACTCGGTGATCAAGTATTTAAAATGCGTGATTGCATTGTTGCATGAAAGAATAGACTAACATCTTATAGTAGTTGTACTATTTACTCATTAGGCTGCTAATCTTTATTTATTTATGTCGTTGAGATTTGCAAAATTACTTATATCAATATAACAAAGTAGCACTTTCATCGACATAAATTTCTTCCAGCGCAAAAATCCGGTGCAGGTGAAAATAATTATAGGTTAAGTCGTGAAATTTTGAAAGTTCTGAAATAAAAATTTGGATCATTTGTATAGATTCTCTTTTGTTACAACGAAAGAAAGGAACTAATATTAAAAGGAAAAACTGGGAAAAAAAGGTCTTTCCGCTTTCTAAAATATTCCTCAATACACTGTATGAAATAGCAGTCATTGTAACATGGAAGACATGATTGCATGATAGGAATAATTCGTGAATTCCTAAAGATGGAATTATTTTTCGATATACAGCTATTGAATTGAAAATGGTAGCAAACAAACTTGCATTATTGTTCAGCTAATAACTGACAAAATAACAATTGAATTATCAATGCATTTGAGGTATCTTCACTCATGTGGTGTGCATTCTGCGATTGTCACCAGCGGTACATTATCACCGTTGGATTCATTTGTTAACAGTCTTGGCATAAGCTTCCCGATAATACTGGAAAATCAGCATGCCGCTAACTTGGATCAAATTTTGGGAGCTCGTATTCGCTCTAGTCAAGGTGGAATCGATCTTTGCGGCACTTTTCACAGACGGTATATAATTTTCAGAGGATTTGTAAAATCAAAATTTGAAGTCAGTGATTTGCATTGATAAATTCCAATTTGATTTCGATTTTATGCTAAAGCTATTTTGAGGTTTTCTTTTCATAATGAACTTTAAATCAGAAATTATGCTGCTAAAGTTATACTTTTTTGGTTTTTGATGAGGTAGAATAAAGCAGCCTCTCAGCTGCGCTATAGTATTTATTACTGTTCTCAGCTGTGCTATATTTATTTGCTCAGTCCTCCCTGTTTGAAATTAAATCTTCACACTTTGCCGACACTTGTTTTAAATTTAATTCCCTTTGATTTGAATTGATTTATGATTAGGAGCAGTGCAGGATATATTTATGGAATAGGTGAGGTTATCATTCGTGCTTGTCAAATCATCCCGGATGGTATTTTGGTATTCTTCTCATCCTATGTTGTGATGAATTCATGTCTAAAATTCTGGAAGGTTTGTATTTGCTGTTTATCAATATTCATACTACTACTATGTTGATACCACATCACTGTCACACTACTGCAACTGCATCAATAAAGTATGTTAAATATGAAAGTTTAAAGCATAAATAAAATGGAATAGTTATTCAAGACT